CTGATTTTTTTTGGTGTGTTTCAAATGAATCACATAAGGTGGTATTTATAGAAATTTTCGAATCTGAGCATTTACTAGGAAATTGCTAGGAAAAGTAGGTACAAAACATGTGTTTTATTTAAATTCGATATTTCCTATCTATTTCCTCCTAATTTCGTAGTAAGAAACTATTTCCTCCTAATTTCGTAGTAATATTTTATTACGCCTTTACGAGGAAAGTGTTTACTACGGCATTACGAGGAAAAGTACTTTTTCCTCGTAAGCTCCTCGTAAATTTACTAAGGTCTTACGAGGAAAGTATTTCCTCGTAAGTTTTCGAGGAGCTTACGAGGAAATTTGTTTTCCTCGTAAGATCCTAGTAAATGCTTAGTAACTTTACGAGGAAGAATTTTCCTAGTAAAATTTCCTAATAAATGCTTTGTTTTGTTGTAGTGTGCTACTATAAACATGAACACAACAGTTGACAAAAGAATTGAGAAACATACAATTAAAAACTACAGGCACAAGAAAACACAATAAAATAAAAAGTCAAATAGTTTCGTGAATTGGGCCTTCTTATTGTGGAATGTGTACTCTAATACTAAAATGTTTGGGGGTACGCATTCACATCTTTCTGTTCTTCAATAGAACCCGAATATAACAGTTGAGCATCCATTTGATTAGATTCATGTGGTCTAACAAAAAGGATTGTTCTGCTTTTTCTTTTGTTGGGTTTAAGCCATCACCTGAGAGTCTACTAGAAATGCACAGATTGGGCCAGGGTTCTCTTGGTTACGGTCGCAGCTCCCGGGCCGGCCTGTTAAAGATGATCGAGTTCATCAATATGTTAAAAACTTGCAAGTCTTTTACATTCCGACGTCTATGATCTATCGTTTGCTCTGCTTCGGTTTGCTTGCGGAGAGATTAGATTAGTACTGGACGTATTACTTGCAAACCAAGTCAGTGAATTGATTTTACCCTTCTTTTTTATTATATGTTTTGTACTATTCGAGACCACAAGCTATCGGGCTCACGTTTTCATATGCGTTCGTGTACTCATTGTAGACGTAAAGGACACGAGGTTTCTGAATGTTTTCTACTTCACTGGTATCCCGAGTGGTACCAGGAGCAATATCAACGTTCCACTAATACTGCACCAGGACAAACGACACAAATTAGGAGAGGAGGACGGTCTAGTGGAAACAGAGGACCTGGTCGTGGACGTGCTTCACATACTACGGCTTTTTTATTATATGTTTTGTACTGTTTACGCAGAACAACAATTAACAGGATGGAACAAAAGTTCGATGGCTGACTTGAAAACCATTCTCGATAAATAATGAGTTTAAGTGGTTGTAAACACTGATCTCTTGTTTTGTTACTTGCTAGAAAGTAGAGATTACCGTCCACAAGTAAACACAAAAGAAGTTTTTTTTTTCTGAATAAATTTTACATACAATTCAAAAAAAAAAGAGTTCAAGTGGTTGAAGTGAAGTCATCACTTCAGAAATTGAGGTGAAAAACGTTATTTTTGTTGTTTTCACTTTTTCGGGATCCAATAAAGACAATTTAAAGGAAAGCAAATGGGCGTATAGCAACATCATTCCACCTTTTAATTTGTGGTGAAAATGTTGTATTTGTTCCAAACCATGTATTCAGCAAGATTTACGATATTTTTAATCTATCCAATTCACTCTCATCATAACACACAACAAAAGAGTTATCAACAAGACAACAACTCTCTATCTTTCATATACTATTTTGCAGGCGAGAAAGATTATTATTACAAGGAATACCCCTAAAAAGAAAGAGAGTCAGGATTAGATAATAATAATAACATTAGAAAAGTGTGAATTTTGTTACAAAATGAAAGAAGAAAACAAAAAAATAAGGAGTGGAGAAAAAGGTGGTGTGCTAGGTCTCAATTTGATCAAGAAGCATCTCCTGGTACCTGCACTCACTGCTGCAAAACCCTTTCTCTCCTCTGCATACACACACACCCATTTCTTAAACTTTCAATTTGGCAAGGAACTCGATTGATTAAAGAGAAAAGTCGCATGTATGTATGTATATAGAATATTATGGACCGACCTGTATATATAGATGTCATGTTTTTGGTCAAGATTCTTTTTGCAAGTGTAGCAGTTGCTTAGAAAATTAGTGTCCGTTTTCTTCTTGGCCTCCAAAGGTGGTTGTGGCAACGGAACAGAGCAAGGAGGAGTGGCCTCCACGAAAACAGAATCGTCGAAGATATGTGTGATGGTTGGATTTGGACCGTGAGATATGACGCACGTGTAGTCTTCCGTCTTATCAATCTCGCTTACGGTTATGACCTTTGTTTTGAGACAAGGGCTGAGCTGTCCAGGAGGATGTCTCGGACCGGTTTTAGTTCCAAAATCGGCAGAAGGGATCTGGACTCTGAGCTTTGACCCGAATAGGACCATCTTGTTGACAGGTTTGCTCGAGTGGTCTTTGTTTTTGACTAGATCAGCGAGCCCAAAGGCTTCAGGTGGGTGAAACTTATGGGGTTTAGGGATTAATGTTGGCTCGAGATAGGAAGTGGGTTTAGGGCTTTTGGAGGAGAAGATGGAAGGGTTGTTGGCTTCGAGGATGGAAGTAGGGCTGACGATGGAGTCAAAAGGAGGAGTGATCTTTGAAGAGAAAAACCTAAACTTTGGAGAGGTAAAGAAGACAGATGAGCAAAAAGTGTTAGGTGTTGGAGATGGAAGTTGATCAGCAGCCATTACTTTAGGGATGATTGTTGCTTGTCAGATCAGGTGAGAGAGTAAAGATCATAACTCAGTAGCTTCCATGTAGAGAGAGTGAGGAGGGGGATCGAATTACAAAGAAGAGACTAAAAATAAAATATCTGAAATGAAAGAGATGAGAAGAATGGTACTACAATTATTGAAAGTTCTGCTTCTGTTCTTATTATGGGGTCACTTACAAAAATCGGATTGAAAGTTGCTTTCTCTCTCTTTTTTCTTTTTAAATTCTAAAGAGCGAGAGAGTGAGAGGTGATCTCGAGAGCAGGGACGTTGTCGTTTTAATCAAGAAATGCTTTGTTGACAAAAAACAATAATCAAGAAATGCTTTAAACTTACATGGATTGACCTCCCCTATATTTATTACGATAATGCTATCGTTTTAAAATAGTTTTTGAGACATTTCTATACTATTGTATCTGATTGAATGTATATACTATATTGTACTTCTTCCGGTTTATATTAACAACGTTTTAGGTTGAAAAGGTAAAGATACTTTTAAAAATCAAATTGTTAAATTATTTTTTGTCAAAAATTTTAATTTATTTATTTCATGGAATACACAGTATGTATTAACGGCGATCCATTTTATTTTTTGCCTTGATGTTTGGGCCTCTGTAACACACTGTATTTTTTCATATGTTATTCTATTCGCCATTTTTGTCATTATTTCATTTGTCTTTCTCTAATGAATATTAATAATGATTAAAATCATTTTCACTTGGTTGATAAAACAAAGTGACGTTAAATAAAAATACTGTAATAATTTATCAGACCGGGTCCCATAATTGCACCTGCTATGCTCAATCCAATAATTAAGATCTACTTAAGCGCCACGTGTGTATGTCCATGGTTGAAGGGTCTTGATGCATTAAGGACAAATATAAACCACTATATATTAATACTAATAATATAAACCATTATAGGACAACTTTGTATATTAATACTAATAATCGCAAATAGAACTGATTGATGGTATATGGAAGATGCAACTACTTTTCTTGTTGTTGATCTTGTGTTACTCGAATCTCATCCAACTATCCAATTTTATTGTTTAAGGTCGTCAACTTTTAATTCTTTTTGGTAATTTGCATAGCTATACCGACCTTGTGTTAGCTCAACCTCAGAAAAATACGAATTATAGTAAAACCTCTATAAATTAATAATGTTGGGATTTTGAAATTTTATTAATTTATAGAGATATTAATTTACGAAAGTTTCCTTATTTAGATTTTTTTTTTCCATTTTTATTTATAAAAGAAAAAAATATTTGATTTTAGCATATGTACATTATTTAAATTTTAGAAATTTGACTTTTATATTTTATTATTATCTTATTTGGTGTATATTTATATGTTTCATAGAATTTTTACATGATTTTCGATATAACTTAACTAAATTTTATCAAAATATATTGAAATATTTAAAAAAACAAAAGTATTTTATAGTAAATATAAAACCCCTAACTAAATATTATCAAAATATATTGAAATGTTTAAAAAAATAAAAGATTTTTTTTAGTAAATATAAAACCAACAATATAATATTAGATTCTACTTATATAAAAGTATATATAGCTAGATTATTAATTTATGATTTTAGTGGGACCATATATTTACATGGCAGTTTTAAAATTTTTATTATATTATTATTTTATCGATTTGTGTCATATTTTACACCTATCTAAGTTGAGAACCGTGAAATTTATTAATTTATAGAGATTATTAATTTATCGAGTATTAATTTATAGAGGTTCTACTGTAGTGTGTTCTTGTCAACCATTACCAATGTTTAATCAACACAAGAGAAAGTAAATTGGTTTTTAAGAAGATACAACATTATTGCGATTAGTAATCATTCGTTATCAACTTATCACTATTAGTGATAGGCTGTGGGGCTAACAAAAGAGGGATCCACATGAAAAGATAGGAGTGCATGGACCGTATTCAATGATCGCGTTTTCGACGTAATCATCTTGGGCTTTTCTTCTTAACGAGTGGGGCCTGGCGAGGCAAGCTTTGTTTTAGTATTTCACAAGAAAAGAAAAACAAAAGTGTGTGTGGTTTCGGCTGCACAGATACCTCTCCTCCTCTTCCATTGGTGAGTGTTAAGTTAGGATTTCGGTTGAGTCCATGTTTAAACCCATAACATTATTAATTGATTTTTCAGGCCCAACACTGAAACAGCGTGAACACAAAACAACTTGTCCAAAACCCAATGTGATTCATTATCTTACAAAATGCCACGTCATTTATAAAAATCATCCAATCAAAAACAGCTTTTGTTTTGTTGGGCGACGTTTTTGTTAACCAAAGAGACAAAACCATTTTACAAGCAAAACACAAATAAGGTTTATCATCGTATTTCCTAATTCTTTAACTCTTTCTTCCTTCCCTTTAATCTTCCTCTTTCTTGCTGGATGTCTGTAGATCTGCACTTACTGTCAACATTTATTATTTTCTCAAAGCTAAAATCATCAACAGAACACCCCTCGCTTTTCGGCTTCCCCTCACTCCATTTATATAACCTTGATAAATTAATTCCAGCCCTGCTATATCAACGCAAACAGAGCTTTACAAGCAAGCAATGGCTTACAAGAATTTGGAAGTAAAAGCGCCTCTCACCATGCGTGTTCTTTGGTAATGTGGTTCTCGAAATTTGCAATACACTTTCTAGAAGGCTTCTCGAGTTCAGATATGAAACAAAGGTATTTTGTTTACGTTTTTTCTTTTTTTTTGTTTGCTCTTGGTTTTCCTCAGATTGATATTATAATTTTGAGCTAAATTATGTATGTCGTTTACTTTATTGGTTTCTGGGATTTAGATCGGAAGAAAGGAATTTGATGAATCATGGTCCATGAATCAACGGTAGTTACGTTTTCAGCGATACTGAACGTTTGCAGGTGGTTTGTCCCTCTTTTGGATCCTCAACTTGAAATTAACGAGTGAAATATAAGGCCCAGTTTTAATTGTTAGCATAGATAGGGTGTATTTTGGTGAATATTCTTATTTTTGTTGACATGTTTTGTTTTCGAAACCGACGGTACTCCTAATTTGAAAACGCATCAATGCAGGCTGTTTGAAAATCAGGTGTATGGTGTTGTTCATGGACTTCTCATGGGCCATATGAAGAACATGTGGCTGCAAGCTCAGAGCTTATTCATCAAAGTAAAGGAACTTTTTTCAGGTATATATCACACTGATATGGTAGAGGCCCAAGTTTTGGAACAAGGCGCCCAGCTGGTGGCACTTGAGGGAAGATCTAGACAAGTTTGGGTGAACATGTGGTCTAATTCTTGCTTGGACTTACACCGACAAAGAGCATTTCTGTTTAACTTCCAACCTAACCCAATAATTTTTGACTAACCTTTTATTTTTGGCAGCATAATAATTCACTGGGGAAAACAAAGCAAAGTGGTTGCAGATGGAGCGCTAAGGAGAGTGGTTGAAGCTCTTTCCAGAATAATGAAATTTGTATATAATTATACATTCACAGCAAATTATATTAGTCATGGGTTACCTTTCGTCAAAGATATTTGCTACCACCAAGATATGGTGAATGCAATACACTTCTCAAGTTTGTTTGCCGTTTTTTATTAGCTACACTGATATTTGGTGGATTAACTATTAACTACATCCTTTTTCAATTTTGCTTTACATAATCAACATGGTGATGAAATGGAAGCAAAGTTTGGAGGGGAGGGCATTTATACAAGCTAAACATCATAAGTTGTAACAACTTTGTATACCAAGGTATGAAATAACCTTTGATTCTATGATCAACTAATCATAGTTTGATTAATAAGATTTCTCTATGTTTCATCTTTGTTTTATATCAATAATGTTAAGTGCTTTCTTCTTTTCAAATCTTACATGCTTATAACTGATAGAGACGGTTCACTAAGTTTGGATGTTCAAAACTAGGATAAAGTCTGAGAAAACAAGTCGTGTAAAATTTCAGAGATAAAAAGTGATAGTTTGCAAGATTGATTGGAAACAAAGGAAGACGATCTCGAGAAACAAGCCGGACATAGCGAGACGACGTTGTAGGGATGTGTTAAAAACTGGGAAATTGTAAGCTAAAAAGACAAATCAGAGATTCTTAGGACGCCAAATGATGGAGGTTGGTGTTGTGAGTGATAGCACTAAGAAAGTATAAAAAATGAATAGGGCATGAGCGTATTAGAGATTTGATGGTGCAAAAATCAGAGTAAACGATTAGACGATTGTTAAGAATGAAAAAGAAAAAAGAGTAACCTATATGAAAAGATGAGAGACCGTTGGTTCTTTAAGGCCAATAACAATTGTAATAAGTGATGGAAAAGTGGTAGTGGACCATATGATAATTGATGCTTTGACCTAAAGATAAGCAAACATATATGTTAATGATGCTTTGACTTAGAATATGTACATCTATATATGTTAATAAAGCTTTGACTTTTAGGGACAAAAAAAAACACAGTCTAAAAGAGATAGTACACCAACGCAGCTTGCATAATTAGCGTCGATGGGTACTACAAGAATAAATGCAGCTAGGGGAAGGTTGTTACTATCCACTTATGTGCTCTTATTTTCCAAGTTTGCTTTAGATCCACTAAGAGCCACTACTATGCCAACCCAGTTTTTTTTAATGCAATTTTAATCAAGACCAGTTCATAAAGAAATAGTTTTCATTTTGAAGTGTGGCAAAGAGGTTAGACATTATTTTCAAACGAGAAGATGAAAACATATACCGACCGAGCTATTCACACTAACAAGAGTTTGTTTTTAAGATTTTTTTTAGAACATAGTTCATTTTTAAGATTATATTGGCTTTTTTAAAAAATGTTTTTTGACATACTCATTGCATAATTATATGCATTTGCAGGGCATCGCCAATCCTATATTATACTCTAAAGTTTGAGTATAATATAGGTGTATTAGTGTTTGAGAAGAGGTAGTGTTTCCTAATCGACAGAGTGATGGTCCGGTTTATATGATTTAAAGATTAATTTTAGGGTGGTGTTTTTTTCTAAACCTTTGGATTAATTTGCTTTGTGTTTTATTTCTATTTGTAATGTATTTCCGTAACCTGGTTCTGAGAACAATAACATTTTTTGTCGTTTTATATTTTTATTCAATTTATTCTTTATCATAAATTGTTATAATTATTTCGTTTTGTTAAAAATAACCGATTTAAATCATCTATTTTAATCAGAAATCATGTGAAACAATTTTATTTCTCTTAGTTCTGTTGAAATTTGTTCAAATAAAATCTTCTTAACCTTTAGCTAAAAAGTTTTTAGTCTCCTTAATTAAAGAGTTTTGGTTATTGTATCAAATCATAATTGTAGCCGTAAATTAATTATATAGATGGACTTATCTATCATTCGAAATAATGTATAAAGTCCTTTCATATGTCAGTTTGTATTTTATTTGTAGAGAGGATAGAAACTGAAAAAATAAAATCAATAATTTTAAAGACATAACAAAGTTTTAAATAAATGTGGATTTAGCAATTGTTTTATATGAAACAAAAAATTTTAGCTAAAATTTAAGAATGTTGACTATTCATCACTTTCCATTAATTTTAATAATAAATAAACAACAAAGAGTGAGAGATTGGTGTTATGTAGTTTTAGTTTTTTTTTGCTTTAGAAAATAGGCTGTGCAAGTTTTTTTTTTTGACTTTAATTGTTTTGCTATACATTTATTTTCAAATCACTAAATAACCTCTGTAGAAAAGTTGATTTTGAAAGCTAATATATTTCATTTCTTAAACTTTTTAACTGTATCTTTAGTTTTAAAAAATAAAACCTGATTGTTTTAAAAAATGCATTAGAAAAAAATGATTGTTCAAAATATCTACCTTCATTACCAATCAATCCCTAAGTTTATTCATTTCAAAATGCGGTTGGACAACATAATAAATAATAGTAATAATTAATTTGAGTATTAATTATATTTTTAGTAGTCAACTTTGATATAAATATACTAGATTTTGATCCACGTTTGAAAAGCGCGGAAAGTTTTTATGATTAAAAATTTATATAATTGGGTTTTGTCTTAATTTAAAGAATGTTTTGGTATAAAATTAGTTTACCAAAATTTGTGGTGATGGTTGTTTTTCATTAGTTTTAAGTTTCAGTTTTTATTTTTATATTTTGTTTTAAATTTTGGTTTTTAGTTTTTAAGTTCTATTTTTGTTTTTCAGCTTTTGGTTTGGTTTTTTAATTTTTAGACACGCTAAGTTAGTTTGAACTGATATTACCAACAAACAAATCTCAATTAATCGAACATGTAATTTAAAACTGAAAATATGACAAAATAATTTTCTAAACATTTTGAAATAGTTTATTGTGTAAATAAAAAAATCAAAAAATTTAACCTGCGTTTTCAGCTTTTGCTTTTGGATTTTAGTTTTTAGATTTGGTTTTTGGTTTTGCTTTACTTTTTTTTTAAATCTGTAAATTATTTAAGTAAAATAAAACAATAAATTATTTAAAAGTTACCATTAAATTTTATCAAGATAGAGTGATTGTTATTTAAAATAAAAAATATTAACATGTTTTAAAATACATGATTTAAATAAGTGATTAATAATAGATAATTTTGTTCTGTTGAAATTTTAAATATTTTTGGGCTAAAAAATATTAACATGTTTTAAAGTACATGATTTAAATAAGTGATTAATAATATATAATTTTGTTTTGTTGAAAATATTAAATATTTTTGGGCCTGAAAATAGGAATTGATTTTTGATCCATTAAGGTGGAAAGTTTATTTAATATTTTTTGGAGTTTTTCTTTAATACTAAGCCCAAAAACCAAACAATTAAATGTCATAAAAACAAAAGTAAGTCCAAAACTCTATTTCATAAATAACCGCTGGTTTAATTTAAGTAATGCGGTTCAATCAACTATATAACTTGTATTATTTGTAACACTCTAGAAAGTGTCCAAATTTAAATGACAATTTGTATCAGTAGATAAAAAGAATGACTCTATTTTAATAGAGTAGATACTTATATAAAAATATACAAGTTAAAGTTAATTAAAAATTAAAATATGAAACTCGGGCGTACCCCGGACAAAAACCCTAGTCATTTTAATGGTTGATCAATTGGGAATATAAGGCCTGCAAAAATTTAACCAGAACCGAATACCGGAACCATATCCGACCCAAAATATACCAGTGTGACTTAGTTTCGGTCATAGTCTACTTAATTAACCGATGGATATTAATATTGATTACCCATGAATATCGATTCAGTTTTGGTTTTTACTGGAACTAATCTTGTATTTATTTAAACCAAATTATATACTTAAATCACACATAGTTGTATCTCATGGGGTTAAACTCTGGTTGGATTGACGAAGTTACATGTATAATATCCAGTTATAAACTTGTATATTTGAACCGACTCAAAACCAGATAAAATCGATATGAAACCGGAATTTTACCTAGTACTATTTGAATATAATATTCAAAAACTGATATACCATAACTGAATAGATCCTATCAAGAACCGATCTGAATATTCCAATGTCCGAGTCCTAGGTAATATCATTGAAAGTATATTCATTCAGTCAAAGTTATTGTGTTTAATTTTGATGGAAACAAATATTTTCTTGTTAGAACTTAGAATATGAAATTGGTACTAGTTTTGCTTTAATTTTTTTGTTTCTAAATAAATTAGATATCTTAGCTAAATAGAAGAAAAAAACGATTCTATTAAATCATTACTTATGGAATAATTCATGTATTCAATTGAATTTTAAAATGATCATATCTAATAACATAAACAAAAAATAAATGTCAAAAATCTATTAGTTCATCAAGTCTCCAATAAAAAAAATTCTTTATTTGAATAGACTAAAAAGTAAAAAAAAATCTTATTAAAAATATTCATAAGCTACTTGTCATATCTACCTAGAGAATCTTTTGCAGTGATCCCACAACATCTACATATATATATATATATATATATATATATATATATGTACAAATATACAGTATGTGAGAATCTATCAAAACCCTAATTACACTTGAAAAATCAGAGATCCCTAAAACATTCAGGTATGACAGAAATGGTGATTCCGAGTAAGCGATCCCGAGCCCCAAGCTTTGCCGATAGGCACTGTGATTACCCGGAGGAGAGTCACGCTGCCACCATTGGTTCCGATTGGTTCCAGGAGAAAGAGACGAAGGATGAAACAAAGCTCAAAACGTTCCTTGAGCTATGTGGTTTCTGCAAGACGAAGCTACGTCACGATGAGGATGTTTTCATGTACGGGTCAGTAGTTTTCCAACCTTCTTCTTGATTAAATAATGATATTGATGGAAAATGATCTCTCTACTTAGTTAGTGCATGTTTACGTAGCATCATACTGAAGTGTTATTCTACAAAATACATTTCACAACTATTATAACTGATGATAGTGTCAGTGTATTTTGCAAAAGTGCAGCTACTTTGGGGCATTCTGTTCAAACGCATGTAGAGCAAAACAGATGGCATACGATGCCTCCTTGATTGTAAGATCGCGAGTGATTGCAAAAGCAAAGAAGGGAAGAACATGTGCAGGAATCAAACCAAAAGAAGATGAACCATTCGTAAATGAAGAGAGTATCTCATCACCACCGCGATTTTATATATAGTGATGATTAGGGGTTGGTGTGTTGTGGTTTCTTTGGTGTATATTTACTTGTACAAAACAAAGCCATTTGTCGGGTGTTTTATCATTCCAAGGGAAATGGCTTTACCATCAAATAAGTTGGCATCGGCAATTATTTGTTTTGTCGATCAACTCATGATGTACAAGGGGGTTTAGTAGTGTATTTGTCAGTCTCTGCTTTTCTTTTATTTAGTAATCAATAAAGTGTTTTCTTTTTTCTGTCTTTTGGTGAATTCATGTGGATATAAGTCACACTCATGTTGTTCAAAAAAAAATTATAATAATAAGTCACACTCATATTAGGAGCTTGCTTGCTTGGTTATACCCTTTTTGTTTTGTTTGTGTGTGAATAAGTCTGAAGACGAAGACAGGACATCTTCCTCTGAGTCTACCCAAAACTTTTGATAGCACTGATATTAAAAATAAAAAGATGAAAAAGCTTGTCTTTGTTTTTTTTGTGGCAAAGGAAGGAAAAAAACAAAACACATTCATATGTTTGGTAGATGAAAAAAGTAGGAGAGGAGATGGAGGTAGAAAGCTAATGGTGAGAAGAAGAGGAGAAGAGGGATCTGCGGGTGACAAGACGCTTGTGAATGGCTCTGATGGTGGTTGGTGTTGTGCGGCAGCAACCTCCCAGCAATGACACTCCTGCATCCATCCATTTCTCTACGTACGACACAAAGTCTTCATTCCCAACTCCTGTGTTCTCCTGCACCCCCAATTATTATTATTATCAATTATGTGGTCTGCATTTTGCTATTAACTTATTTTTTTCTCAAACGTAAAAATATAAAATGACTTACCACCCACTCCTTCCGTTCAGCATCATATCTTTCTCCACTGTTTGGATACACTAGTATTGGCTTGCTCGTCACCTTACACAATTTAAAAAAAAAAAAAAAAACTTTTTTTCTTTTAGTCTCCCAAACACACTCAAAGAAAATGATAACAAAAGCCATCACCTTTTCTATCTCCAAGACAAGGCCCTCTATGAATCTTGGAGGGGTACAGTTGATCCCAACAGCCACAACTTTCTCACAAGTTTCAGCTATGGAGATACACTCCTTGATGGAATCCCCGCTAACCACGTTCACCCCATCCTTGGAGTTAAACGAAAACCACCCTGGAATCTTCACCTCTCCTTCAGCTAACAGCTCAGCAAATGCCTAGAAAGACAATCCAAACCTTAAACATCAATCAATAATGAAAGAATGGGACATCAGCAGGTACCTGAGCCTCTAGCTTGTTTGGAATGGTCTCAAATGCTAATATATCAGCACCAGACTCTGCCAGAACTTGGACTCGTCTCCTGTGGAAATCCTTGAGTGTTTCCAGCGTGATCAAATCACCATATATTCCACTGACCAACAAATACCGTTTATTAAGAGATTATGAAGTACCAAAACAAATCTGGACACTGAAACTGATACGAGCTTCTCAAAGACGTTTTTTATAGAAAGCAGAGTAAAATGCAGGGGGTAAAACCTGTATTCAGATCCATCAGCCAAGTAAGCACCGTAGCTACCTACTGATGCTGCAACTAGTATAGGCCGCTTCTTCAGAATCTTATCATCGCTGGAGGCTTTGCATTTTTCATAGTACGAGTTCCGAGCTTCACAGGCAATTTCTACACTTTTTCTAAGCAAGGATTCGCTTTTCTCTACAGAAAAGCCTTTTGCTTCAAACCCCTGAATCGTGGCCTGTTCAAAAGATTGAATCCACGTTTCAGTACCCCCATAAAAAGAGAGGAATGAAAAAGAGAGAAGCAAAAGAACCTGGTAAGAAGCGCTGGAGATGATATCAGCACCAGCTTCAAGGTAATCGAGATGCACCTGCTCCATCACGAAACAGAAGCAAATAATCCATAATATTTATGAGTAGAAAGCAATATAAATTAAAAACAAAAAGGCCATATTCCCCCACAGGGATATACTTCCACTAAAAATTACACAAGAAACCTTTCTAACACCAAAGGAGAAAGATGAACCCTAACAACTAGCCAAGAAAAAAATCAGGGTTTAGGTTTCAGAAGTTGACAGCTTTAAATATTTATCAATGCCCAGTGGAATCAGTACGTCTTGTTAATAAATACCAAAATAATGAACATGAGGATGCTATACTTCATACAGATAGTTACACCTTTTTGGCAGTTTCTCAAACCATTCAAAAATGCAATTTATAGCCAAAACTAGGGTTTATTCTATTCAATTGAAACACACACAGTATATGAGACAGCTGGATTTGTACGATTCAGAGACAAAAGAAAAAGCGATGGAGAAAGAGAGAGAGAGAGAGATATTTGTTACGGTGTGAATGAGGTGAGGAGAAGTGAGTAAGCATTTGGCGCTCCAGAGAGGATCGTTGAGATCCGCACCATGTCTCTCCAACTCCGTTGCTAGCCCTCCGTCTATAATCGCATACCCTCCTGTCTCCTTCAAGAAATCTTTCATCGACTTAAACGCCTCCGCCTCCTTCTTCGAGTTTCCTCCGCTCACCATTACTCTCCTTCTCAAACGTGTGCAAAAAGTGGACCAAAACTAAAACCAACAATCTTGAACTACTTCCTCTCTCTCTCTCAGCCGACACCTACTTAACCCATACACATGTTGTTGTTGTTTCACAAGCTGTCGCAATATTGTGGTTTAAGACCTTTATCTTTTACACTTGTAACAAATCCAACCCCCCATTTTTTTTTTTTAACTTTTACACCCTCTACTAGTCTTAATCTTCGTCACTCTTTTACTTAGCTCTCTCTTCTGTTTTTACTACTTCCATTACGAATCAACATTTTTTGTATTATTATCAAACCTTCAAAGAGTAAGAGATGATCCCCGCTCACAGAAAAAAAAAAGAAAGAAAGAAACAAAGCTTTATCATCAGTTTTATACACGACCGGACTGTGTGTAAAAAAAAGTATAAATACATAGAGAGAGAGAGTAGAAAGAGTGAGATAGATTCTTATGACAAAGACCACACCCAATCTAACTCCAATGTCTCAACAAAAGTTCAAAAAAAAAAAATCAAGCAGCTCTCAAGAATATCACAAGAGACAAGAGGTCAGGGGCCACGAGGTTTGAAGAAACAGAGGCACCCCTGAAACTTGTCTGGTGGTATCATTCCACCGCCTTTGCTTGTGTCTACTGCTTCTAGTAGCTTCACAACCTCTTCCATCTCCGGACGCTTGTCTGGATTCGGGTCCCAGCATCTCTTCATTATGTTTGCCACCGCCTGTGGGCAGCATTTCGGAATCTCTGGTCTCAGATTCTGATCAACCAATAAAGATAAAAGATGTGAGTTTCTGATTAAAACTTTTTCATTTTTAGAATAGGACACAGATTGTAAAGATGGAGAGACCTTGTGAACAACAGCATGAGAGATCTCAGCAAAACTAGTGTCAGCGTAGGGCATGTCGCAGCAGTATATTTCCCAGAGGCATACACCAAAGCTATACACATCACATTTCCTGTTGTAAGGCTTTCCTTCAAGAACCTATGCACCCACCCCACCCCCAAAAGTCAATACTTTTTTCTTTCACAATGAAGAAACAAAAAAGGATCTAATATACAAATAATAATATACCTCAGGTGCCATGTATCCAAGAGTTCCAGTTTCACCAGTCATGTCTTGAGGGTTCTGAGCCTCGACTCTAGCAACTCCGAAATCAGCAATCTTGAGCGTCTTGTTAGTTTCCAACAACATGTTCTCTGTCTTCACGTCCCGATGCACAATCGCCTTGGAGTGGAGGTAACTCAGACTGAGACAAGGAAAAGAATAATAATAAAGAGAAGGTACAAGTCTTGTTATCCAACTTTTGTTACGTCTCGAAACTGATTTAAATTCCACATAATGTACCACAAGCAATGTTAAGATAAAAACGCAGAGGAAAGGAAAAGAGGGTTGGTTCCCTAGATAATAATTACCCTCTAGCGAGATCCAAAGCAAGCTGAATGACATCCTTGATGGGGAGTTTGCTCCGATACTTTTTGATGAGGAACTTCTTGAGGGTGCCACCAGCAACATATTCAACGACAACACAACAGGCCTTGGCAGGATGTGCTCCACTGCCTCCAGAATCACTAGAAGGAGGTAGCTTCAGATCAGAGGTCCCCATGGATGCTCCTATGAACTGCACAAAGTATATGTCCAAAATTCAAAGTCAAACCACCTTCTTCTTCTTCTTCTTCTTCTTCTTACTAGTACTAATAGTTGTGAAAATAAAGAGAGTAACCTATACCTTGGTAACGTTGGGATGATCGAGCTTCTGCCAGACGACCACCTCTTGTTCGAAGGAAGCGCGCAGATCATCGGCCGTTGAGACACCATCTTCTCCCCAATCCAACACCTTCACTGCAAATTATTATAACACAATAATTCATATCAACCAATCTTTTTATTTACGAGATTATTATTTTTAAAACAAATCCTATAGAGAGAATAATAATAATAATAAAAGGGGACCTGCGACTTGTTGACCGGCGTAGACACCGCGGTAGACAGTGCCATAAGTGCCGCGAGCGAGGACGTGATTCATGTCGAGTTTGGAGAGGTCGATCTCCCATTCCTGCATCGGAGACTTCTTGGAGGAGGACTTGACGGCAGCACCACTAGTTGAAGAAGAGCCTTGACCCATATGCAAATCCCATTTCTTGAAATCAAGTGTATCCGCCCTGAAGTATTGACCTCCTCCTCCTCCTCCTGCGCTTTTGCTCCCGACTCCCCCTAATTTTGGATCCGCCGATCTATCCGCCTCGGAAGCCATTGACTTCTCCCAGGCGACTAGGAATCGAAAAGAGAGTTGAGGAGCAAGGCTTAGAGTTTTTTTTTTTTGAATTCAGGAGTTGTGTTTCTGTGGTGGAGAAACAACAAAAATTCGAAAGGGACAAAATACAGAAGACTTGAGAAAGAAGAAGAAGTAGAAGAGATAGATTGATTGATTGTGATCTCCTCTCCTCTCCACACACACACAAAAGAAGAAGACAAACTCTCAACGATTTTAGTTGGTGAAATACCAAATCATCTCTCTCTCTCTTCTTTTACTGTTTCACCGCCCAACTCTCTATCTCTCTGGGTCCAGACAATTGATTGATTATTCATTTCTCCCCCTCTCCCGCCCATTATTATATTATTTTTTTAGATGCTTACAAACAGATAGATATCTACGTGTCTTTCTTTGTTTTTTGATTCTTTGGACACAGCCTCCCTCCAGTTTCAACTCTCTCAAACTTTCCTTTTATTTTTATTTGGGAGAAAAACTAGAATGACTCAAATTAATGGTGTTATTACTAGAATGACTCATAATTTTTTCAGATTTATTAGAATGTTTTTTTGGTCAAAATTGTCCTTGGCTATAGTTATACAAAAAAACAAATTTAATTTTCTTAGGTCGTCGGCAGATTTATTTAAATCTATCGCACGACAGAATTTTTAAATATGTCTATCGGATGACACAATAGATTTGTCTATATTTTGCTCGATTTGTAAAGAAAACCGATTTTTTAAATATGTCTGTCGGATGACACAACAGATTTATAAGAAACCACAGATTTTTATGATCGACTTATTCTCATATGGCAGACTTGTTGAATTACGACCGATTTGTATAAAAAATCGATTCTTATTACGGTAGACTTAAGGTAAATCTACCACCGACTTATAAATGCTGCAGACTTGTTGAATTACGACGCGGCCGATTTGTTAGTTTACGTTGTGACAGATTTGTTTAGTTAATTCTCGGTTTAGATAACCAATCTAAATTAAATTTGGATTGAATTCCGGTTTAGTTCAATTAATCCGAAATTGAATTAATTCGAAATTGGTCTGGTGGGAATTTGGTTTAATTAGATTTTGGTTTATTTCTAGTGGTTTAAGACCACAATTAGGTCTAATTTAGTCGCAGCTAACAAGAAAACTAGATATGCGTTGTAGCTTTTATGTCGTTTGACAACTTACCTGACTCGGATTCAAATATGAGAGATTTTATATCAAAACAAAATGTTTTCTTAATTATTCTTTCATCGACCAACTCTTTATATTGTTAGGAATTTTTGTATTTCAGTCAGTTTGAAGATGAATTCTATCAAATAATTCGGATTAACACAAATAGTGAAGAAAAAGATGTGTAAGAGTAAGACTTGTGGTGTTGAAAAAAAAAAGTGTTTCAACAAAAAAAGAGTAAGACTTGTGACTCTGTGAGGCCATAACAAAATAGAATAAAGCCTAAATTTTATTTTAACATAACATTCAAAAATCTGAACATAATTGTGTTCTCCCACATGTAAACTGATATAGCATCTCACTGTTAATCAAAGACACTGCTAAGAACAACTTTTTAATGAGATCATCAGCTCAAGAGACTCATAGACTCTGCAATCTTGTTTATAGCCTGATGGTAAAGAACATCTGCTTTGCTTATAGGCTAGCTTGTGGATGATCACTTCCACACTCCCATGATTAGTATACCTTCATTACCCGTCGACATAATCTTCCCTGTTCCCAGCGTCCTTATGTTACTCCCTTGAACATGATCAAGAACCTTAGCAAGATTGTGTGTTTTACCTTGAAAGGACCTAACCGAACATCCTTACTCCTTGTTCCTTCTGGGAATAAAAACATAGATGCTCCATGCATCGATTCAAGCAATCCTACAGAATGTAAAAAAAAAANATTACCCGTCGACATAATCTTCCCTGTTCCCAGCGTCCTTATGTTACTCCCTTGAACATGATCAAGAACCTTAGCAAGATTGTGTGTTTTACCTTGAAAGGACCTAACCGAACATCCTTACTCCTTGTTCCTTCTGGGAATAAAAACATAGATGCTCCATGCATCGATTCAAGCAATCCTACAGAATGTAAAAAAAAAAGAAAGTTTAAAAACAAAACACTTGAAGAGTGTTTAGGGTAAGAAAAAAGAGAGTGCATTCACACCACTCAGCTTCTAGGGTCCATGGTGGGCTGGCGTTGTTCCCTTGAAGCGGATGGACCGTCTTAAGCATATTGGCAGCAACGATAGAAAAGCATATCATCCCTCTGAGTCTTGAACTCAACTTAATCTCTGCACTTCAAAGTTCAAAAGAAAAGAAGGAATGTTTGTAGTCTCGCAAAGCAGATAGTTCACAAATGTTTTAGCCAGAAAAAAAAAATCTTACCCATTCCACTGGATTTCTTATCATGAAATTTGTAAGGATCTCATCTTAAAGAGAGTAGGTTACACCTTTTTACACATAACCTGCCTTATTCCGACAGTAAAATTTGCACTCAGTACAGCTAAAGAAGAAACAAGTAATGATTTAAAAGATTCATATCACTTACAAACTTTGTTGTACAAAGTTTCATGTTCTCTTGGATTCTCACATCTTCCCAACATGCTATCCACCTAAAGATTAATTTTTTCAGGAACTATAAGGTCGAGAAAACACACAAAAGCCTGGTTTCGAAGAAGATGTGAAACAGATAAAGCTTTCAAGCATACCTCATCAACAAAAATTGGGATTTAGGGTTTTCGAAATCTAATATGCAATCAAGCAATAATAGTCAAAAACGTGTAGAAACAACTTAGAATTAGATAGATTTAGCACTTACGGGTTCAATTTTTCAGTGACAGAGGAGATGTGGCGGAGGAGATGAGGACGACGAACAAGATATTTTACAGACGCGAGGAGACGACGAGAGGGGGCTGAGATGGAGTAGATGTTGTCGGAGAGAGCTAAGATGGACGGCGAGACTAGATTGGAGATTTCTCCTTTGTCGTCGAAGTCGTCGTCTGATATAGAGAGACCCGACAAAATTAAGAACCCTTCCTCCCTTTTTTAGTTTATGTTTATATATATTTTTTTTTTAAATTATGTTTTTTTTTTTTGGCAAATTAGAAGGGTTTTTTTGTCAATTTATCTGCATCTTAATTGGGTCTAGTATTTAAATTTTAATATGAGTCATTCTAGTCATTTTAAGATAAATTTGAGTCCTTTTGAGTAATTCCTCTTTTTATTTTTGTCAAACTTTCCTTTTATTATTACCATACAACAAAACATCATGGACACTACTCCTATGTTTTCTTCTTTCTCTCTCATTTTTTTTTTTTTTGGTTTCAAACCTAATTTTGACTTTTCATCAAATAAACAGGTAGAGTGAACCACCAGTTCAACGATTCCTACTACTTGAAGCAACACACGGCTCTTTCTGCTGAATACTGTTTTCTAGTTTCATCTCACACCTAAATGTAATAAGGGTCATTTTTTCGCTGGATTTACATCACCAATTATATTATAAATATCATCCATAGAGAAACGTACTACATTTTTGATTTTTGACGCTAACCCACCAAAGGTCCACTCTTTTAAGAACAGCAGCATCTCACGCCTCTCTTTCAAATTACGTTACTTGTTTCTTTTTTTATTATATATAGTTTTTTTCAGTCATGTGAATATGTTTTGGAATCTTCGTCCGTCGTTATTACTTGTTGAGCACAAAGCACCAAAACCAATACGCATCCCACCAGAGCATATGCGCTTTCTATTAATTTTTGAATCACCTTATAATGGAACCCAACTACACATTTGCAAAATAAACCCTTCTGTTTGATAATTTATCAAATAACGACAACTCCATTTCTTTGTTGTTACAAACTTTCATAACATCTTCCCCCCTAGATATTTCTTGGGCTATTTTACTTCTACATTGTTCAGTGGACTTGGTAGGATGGGCTTTGATTTGGGAAGCCATTAAACTCTCAAATACTGAAAAAAGTCTCACCTCTGTAAATACTCAGTCAGATATCCTCTGAGCTCACTACCAAGCGGCTCGCCCTGCTTGCAGTGCCGCTCTGAATATCCCACGTCGTGATGACCAGATAAAGTAACATCTTCTTCCAGATAATCCCCACAATCGATGATAATGTTATGCAATAAACAACACACCAGTATTATACTCGGCAGTTTCCTCCTGTCTGGTCTCCACATAACCTTGCTCAAAATCCTCCAGCTTCCTTTCAGCTGCGCAAAGGCCGTAGCAGCCACTGACCTCACCTTCTCATGCCTGTCGTTGAAAGCCAGCATCGGATCAGATGGATCATCGCTGCTGTCGTGAGGAGTTATAAGCCAAGGAAGAAGCGGGTAACTGGACCCTCCAACCACATACTCTCTTATCTCAGCTCCATGGTCTAGAGTCTTGGCCTTCCCGTCTAACACCTGACCCGTCTCACAGAGCTTGAAGAAGCCAGAGAACTTGAGCAGCTTGGAAACAGTCATCCCCCCAGGCCATCCAGTGACCATGTTGAGAAACCTCATCTCATGATCAAACACTCCTTGCAAGAACATGCTGTAGTTCTTCTCCTGGTCACACCAATCATCGGAGGCCTGCACAGCAGGGAGAGTCATAATGATGTGGGTTGAATCTATGGCACCGCAGCAGTTAGGGAGACCGTACATGTCCTCAAACTTGGACTTGATCTCTTGGATTCTGTCGGAATCAGGCCATCTAAGATGATGCTTGGCGCGTCCCTCGAGAGCCTCGATGAATCTCCAGGTGACCTGAGAGACAGTGGACTGGCCAACACCGAATGCAGCTCCGACGGAGACCTGAGATTCGCCGGAAGCTAAGCGTCGGAGAGCAATGGCGACTTGTTTCTCGACGCTGAGAAGTCTGCCTTCGATGTTGATGAGTCCAGAGGGAGGCCTGGAGATGAGATCCTCCCTGACGAGGGAACAGATGTAGCTGAAAGTGGTCTTGGAAGCTCGGAAGAAGTACTTGAAGGCGTCGTCTTCGTCTAAGGGGATGGTAACACCTGCCAATTGCAAAATATGAGGTCACACAAACCCTAACAAAAGAAGAATCTAACTATAGATTGAAACACTGTACAAGAGTCAAAGGTATATAGTTGACTAATTGAGGAGAGGAGAAATGAAAGTGGAACCTGAGAGAGAAGAGTTTCGGAGGAAGAAAGTATCCCACCAGTCACAGTCGATAGCCTCTGGATCTAAGGGAGGAGCAGCGTTCTTCGCCTTTTTTTCACCTTTCCTCTTCTTCTTCACCGGAGGAGCCATCATCAAGGTTGCGTTCAAGGAAAAGGACTTTGCTGTAAATGGATGGAGGTGAATAAGGGTAGAGTGGTAATTTACAAACCGTTGTTCGCAGTTGCAGGCCTTCGCGGTGTGTGTAAATGGGTCGTTTAATTACATAGGCCCAGACTGTTCCACGGTGAATATTTCCTCTCTATTTGGAGCGCCACTGGGCCCCACTCGACACTTTATTAAAACACAAGTACTAATAAAAAATATCACTTTGTTATAATTATATTTAGATTATATATTGTTTTACGTTGTATTAGTTATTATATATGTATTTATATATGTATATGTGCTCATAATACATTATATATGTATGTAAGTGATAAGACAGAAAGCATACAAAAGAGAGAAGAGATATTATTATTAAAGTTCGAAAGGGGCAAGTAAAAATGATCGTACTACAAGCTTTTATATAGGCAAAATATCCAACAATTTTTACTTGTGAGCATTAATGGTTATGGGATCCATTTCAAAGGCAATAGTAAAGTTTGCTTGACTTTTGCAACACTCCTCCTTGGATACAAGTACCATTAATATTTTGCACTGTGTTTCATGTTGCCTCATTAAAAGCCTTTTTTGGAAAATTCGGTGAGAAAAACCATAGCAAGGTAAAAGAGTACAACTTAGAAACTTCCCCTCGAATAGACGATCTTCACAGTTCTTGTTGATGACGCATTCCAATGTTGTAAACATGTTTTCTGAATGTCGTAGTGGGTAGTGACTTTGTAAAGAGGTCTGCAGCATTATCACAAGATCGAACATATCTCACTTCAATTTCTTTATTCTTCTCGAGTTCTTGGGTATATGAGAATAACTTGGGTGGAATATGCTTGGTTTGGTCACTTTTGATGTATCCTTCTTTTGTTTGAGCGACACATGCTGCATTATCTTCATATAAGGTGGTCGGTTCTGAATTGACGTTGATCCCACTACTTGAAATGTTGTTTTGACTTATGGATCTGAGCCAAACACATTCTCTACTTGCTTCGTGGAGAGCGATTATTTCAGCATGGTTTGAGGAAGTGGCTACAAGTGTTTGTTTCTGGGATCGCAATGATATAGCAGTTCCTCCAATTGTGAATACGTATCCAGTCTGTGATCTAGCTTTATGTGGGTCAGACAAATATCCTGCATCTGCAAAACCAACCCATTTTTCCGTTTGAGTTGTTAGGATAAAATAATCCTAAATCAATTGTTCCTTGAAGATATCGAAAGACATATTTGATCCCATTCCAATGTCTTTGTGTAGGAGATGCACTGAACCTTATCAAAAGATTAACTGCAAATGATATATCAGGCCGAGTGCAATTTGCAAGATACATGAGTGCTCCTATTGCACTTAGATATGGTACTTCAGGGCCAAGTATCTCCTCATTTTCTTCATGTGGTCGAAAAGGATCATTTTCAACATTTAGTGATCTAACGACCATAGGAGTACTTAGTGGAGTTGCTTTGTCCATGTTGAATNGAGTGCAATTTGCAAGATACATGAGTGCTCCTATTGCACTTAGATATGGTACTTCAGGGCCAAGTATCTCCTCATTTTCTTCATGTGGTCGAAAAGGATCATTTTCAACATTTAGTGATCTAACGACCATAGGAGTACTTAGTGGAGTTGCTTTGTCCATGTTGAATCGTTTCAACACTCTTTTTGTATATGTAGACTGATGTACAAATATACCTTTATGTGAATGCTCAATTTGTAGACCAAGACAATATTTTGTCTGTCTGAGATCTTTCATCTTAAATTCTCCTTTTAAATAAACAGATGCCTTTTGTATCTCTTCTTTAGTCCCGATAATGTTTAGGTCATCAACATATACAACAATAATAACAAATCCAGATGACGTTTTCTTGATGAAAACACATGGGCATATAGGATTGTTTACATATCCTTCTTTAGTTAAATGTTCACTGAGACGATTATACCACATACGTCCTGATTGCTTTAAGCCGTATAATGATCTTTGCAATTTTATTGCACATAACTCCCTAGGTTTAGAACTTAATAGTTCTGGCATCTTAAATCCTTTTGGGATTCTCATATAAATATCAGTGTCCAATGACCCATATAAATATGCTGTAACAACATCCATTAGACGCATTTCTAGATTTTGATTAGCAGTAAGACTCATCAAAAATCTAAAAGTGATTGCATCCATAACATGAGAATATGTTTCTTCATAATCAATCCCAGGTCTTTGAGAAAATCCTTGATCTACAAGACGAGCCTTGTATCTCATTACTTCGTTTTTCTCGTTTCGTTTCCAAACGAAAACCCACTTGTATCCGACAGGTTTCACAGCTTCAGGTGTGATTACGATAGGTCCAAATACCTCTCGTTTGTTAAGAGAATCAAGCTTAACTTGTATTGCATCTTTCCATTTCATCCAGTCGTGTCTCTTTTGACATTCTGAGATAGATTTTGGTTCAGGGTCATCACTTTCTTCATTTATTTCTTTTGAAACAAAGTACGAGAAAATATCATCGACATCATTCACATTACTTCGATTCCATATTTTTCTATTGTAAATGTAGTTAATAGAAATCTCATGATTTTCTTCAGAATCATGATGTTCAACACTGTTATCAACCTCATGGTTCATTTCTTCCGGCCTTTCTGTTGTATTGGATGGATTTTGCTTTTCCATCTCCTTTCGTTTTCTAGGATTTTTATCCTTAGAACCAAGAGGTCTACCACGTTTTAAACGTATTTTGACTCTCGTGTATTATATCTGCTCCACGTTCATGTGGCATTTCAATACGAGAAGGAGCATTTGCAGCAGGTATATGTGATTTTGTTACCATTTTGGTGTCTGCAAATGCATCAGGTAGTTGATTTGCAATGCTTTGCAAATGCATAATTCGACGGACTTCTAATTCCGATTGTTTTGTAGGAGGATCAAGGTGTAGTAGAGATGGAACACACCATTTTATCTCTTTTTCTACTTGTTTATTTTCTCCCCCTAGAACTGGGAATTCTTTTTCATCAAAGTGACAATCAGCTAGCGTGCCGTAAATACATCACCAGTTTGTGGTTCTAGGTAACGTATAATTGATGGAGAATCACAACCAACATATATCCCTAACCTCCTTTGAGGTCCCATCTTTGTACATAGGGGAGGTGCAATTGGTACATATACAGCGCAACCAAAAACTCTTAGATGGGAAATATTTGGTTCTCGTCCAAATGCTAATTGTATTGGTGAATATTTGTGATATGCACTTGGTCTCAACCGAATTATTGCTTCTGCATGCAAAATAGCATGTCCCCACACGGAGGTTGGGAGTTTAGACCTCATGATTAATGGTCTTGCAATCAGTTGTAGACGTTTAATTAATGATTCAGCCAAACCATTTTGTGTGTGAACATGAGCAACAGGATGTTCCACATCAATTCCAGTTACAATACAATAATCATTGAATGCTTGGGAAGTAAATTCACCAGCATTATCTAGTCTGACCCTCTAATCAGAAAACTGAGCTCTTAGTTTGATTATCTAAGATAAAAATCTCGCAAATGCCACATTTCGAGAGGATAACAGACAAACGTGAGACCATCTACTCGACGCGTCGATCATTACCATAAAATAATAGAATGGTCCACAAGGTGGATGTATAGGTCCACAAATATCGCCTTGAATTCGTTCAAGGAGTTTTGGTAACTCTTTATCTATTTTGGTTGGTGATGGTCTTATAATCAACTTTTCTAAAGAACACGCAGTACATGTCATTTTATTCCCCTGATAAACTTCTTGGGGTTTCAGTGAATGACAATTTATGTTTTCGATGATCTTTCGCATCATTGGGGTGCCTGGGTGACCAAGATGATCATGCCATAGTGTAAAGTCATCCGAATTTCTCTTAATCACCAAATGTGACTCGATGGCACTTATATATGTTTGATGCAAACCAGAAGGGAGTTTTGGTAGTATTTCCAACACCTTTTGCTTTCTCGATTTCTTAAGAATAATGTACATATATTTCTTTCCATTCTTAGTTTCAGAATGAATATCAAATCCTTGAGAATATATGTCATTAAAACTCAATAATTTCCTCTTAGAATTTGGAGAAAATAGTGCATTATTTATCCAGAAATTTGTCCCATTAGGTAATGTGAAATGGGCTTTACCAATCCCTTCAATCAAGTCTGCATGACCTGATATTGTGTTAATTGTGATATTCGTTAGTTTAAGTTCAGAAAAATATTTTCTGTGTTTAAGAATAGTGTGCGTTGTTCCACTATCTGATATACAAATATCTCTAGCATTGATCTTGGTTGATGCTCCGTTTGTAGTGTCCATTTCTGAGACAAACAAATAATTAAATAGGGATAAGATAATCTTATTCATAAAATATTATACATCATTAGCAGACATTAAACACGCAGTAATTATACATAAACATATGAAAAATCACACAATAATTATACATTAATCTTCCACAAATAACATTATTTATGATATAATTGTGGAATTTCAAGAGTCACATGATGGGTGCTTAATCTTCTGTGATAGCGGTCTCCTCGAAATCATTCACAAAGTCAGACGCATCCAGGTGCGTTGTACCCTCAGAAGTTTCCGCAAAGTTAACCTCTTTACCTTTTCCTTTGACGGAATCTTTGTATAAAGCACATAGATGTGGAGGGGTACGACATACACGGGACCAATGTCCCTTAGTACCGCATCTGAAATAAGCTTCTTCTCGCTTCTGAGAAGTATTTCTTTGGTTTTCTTTTCCCGTAGGGGATTGTTCAGAGCGGACCCATTGGAATGACTTTTTGTCCTGTGGATTGTACTTTCGTCCACGTCCACGGTAGTTTTGACGACCACGGCCACGAAAAGCCTTATTTTCTTTCACTGGTTTCTTTGCATCTAATGCATTTGCTTCGGGAAACGCTTTGGAACCAGTTGGACGTGTCATGTGATTCTTGATCAGAAGCTCGTTGTTCTTTTCTGCTACGAGAAGCGCCACAATCAA